GATCAGATCAGGGGCCTGTCCTTATACTCCTCCAAATATAGCCACACTGTGGGGCTAGAGCTTTAAAATAGAATTTGGGGAAGACATGGACGCTTTATCTGTGACAATTATCTTCAGGTTCTCTTGTTATACTTCATTCTTAACCTCATTACATTTCCATTAGTTGCCTAAAAGGCTTATTTGATTATTCCAAAAGGATTTTTTTACAGCATATTTTTAGATGTCATGTAGCCAACATGAGTTTCAGAATCTCTAGCTTTCCATATTGCCAGCAAAATATCTCTCCTCTATGTATAATCTTGTAGTAGGCAGTTCCATCCAAACTCATATATATGCCTCAAATAACACATCAAAATTTATATTTCCACCCTGACTTCTCTCCTGAGATTGAGACTCATAGCCACTTGCTACTTGGCATCTTTAGCTAGAAGTTTATAGAATGTCTAAAACAAAGTATCTCAAACCAGAACTCACAGCTTTCCGAACAAATATATTCTTCCCTTGATTTCACTATTTCAGTTAATATCATGATAAACTACCCAAATGCTCAAGTCAAAACTCTAGCTAGCAACCTTTATTCCTTTTATTCCATTCTTCCCATGTGTAAATCAAAAGCAAGCCCTGTCTTCCTTGTTTTTGAAATTGATCCTCCGCCTCCTTTCCTGCCACCTCCAGCCAAGCTTCATGTCTCATCTGGCTCCTGCTCCTGCCCCCTCAGCAGGCATCCTGTGTCTGCCCTCACCCTCAACCCAACAGCCTGGGCTTCATAAAGCAGTTACAACCATCCATTTAAATTTCAGCTGCAGCATATCTCTAAGTTAGAATTCTCCATTTGCTCCCCATCATACTTCAAATAAAATCTAAACTTCTTGCTGTCATCTACCAGATGTAAACCTCCCAACTGCCTGAGTTTATCTTACACACTCCCCTGTGCTCACGTCACTATAGGCCTCCTCTTTCCTTGTGTGAAAAACAGTCCATTCCTACCTCAAGCCCTGGACTCTTGCTGTTCCCTTTGCAGGAATATGCTTTCCTATGGCCTTTGCTGCGTTAAAGATTTAGTTTAGATTCTGTCTCCTCAAAGAGAGAATCTATGTTTATCTTAGAAAGTAACACTGCAAAGAATGAGGACTTTTTTTTTTTTTTTTTTGGTCCCAGACCTACCATTGACTCATTGTGTACATTGTGAAATCTTGTAATCTCTGACCCTGAACACCTCCAAATGAGAATTAAAAAAATCTGTTCTATCCCTAATATCAGAAGGTTTGTTAAAAACTATGAATCCAAACATGTTTTTATACAGTGCAAAGTGAGAAACAATTGCAATCTTTCATCATTGTTATAAATGATTGTGGTTATTAGTGGGACATTATTTGGATCAGAACTTGTTCTTAATGATAAGATGCTCTTGAAGAAAATAAAGTAAGTGGTTTATCAACTAAATTCAGGGAAGATCAAGTTAAAGTTTTCTTCAGTCCTTTCTTGATGCTAAGGATTAAACCCAAAGCCTCACGCATGCTGCGCAAGTGCTCTACTACTGAGCTACATCCCCAGCCCTAAAATAAAGTTTCATTATCTCCGTAAGACTTAAAACTCTTAATACTCCAGAGTATATTTAAATTTTCCACTTGAGAATAGCATATAATACTTTTCCCCAACTTATCTGCCCATTTTTTATTCAAAGCCTCTTATAGGATTAGGAGCTGAGAAATGAATTGGGGAAATTTCTAGAAAAGTCAAAGTCACCTATGAGATACAGTAGACATTCACACCAAAAGTGGAAAGAGAAAAGAATTGCCAGGTCTAGATGCAAGCAAATCTTTGCCAACATTTTCTAGCTGTAAAGCAACATGAATTGACACGCCACAGAATAACATGAAAACAATTCCACAGGTAAATGTCTTTCCTTACAATAAGTATTACAGGGCTTTTGCACTCTTCTCTTCACTTGCTGGGCATAAGACGAAAATTATGCCCTTTCATGTTTTGTCATCATCACGACATTTACCACAAAACAGAAGAAAGCTTTCAAACTGTGGGTCACCAGTGGTGATCTCCATCATGTGCATCTAGATGTTCATGGGGACAAGCGCATCTCTGTGCAACGTACTCTTACTGTGAATGAGACTTCAAGGCTCCTAGGCTACAAAAAGTCATTTCCTACCACTGAGGAGGAGTTGTTTGGCTGAGATGGAATGATTCCTCACTCTGCTCTCTAAAACTGGAGTAATAAAGTAGAGCTACTAAGCTTATGAGTAGCTAGAACCACAGAAAACTGTAATTCAGACCCCTTATTATAGAGGCCTGTGGAGTGAGTTACTCAAGATCTCCAGAGACTTTTGCATCGTCACGGAGGCGACCACCCAGGGAGGCAGACAGCCCTTGATCTGCTCCCAGGGTGCTCCAGTTACCCAACTCTAAAGACCTCACTCCTAGCTAGCTTGGCTTTCTGGACTGTGTTGGGAAGCCTGCATCCTAGAGACCAGCTGCTTCTTTCTAACTGCCAGGGCACAACGGTCTAAAGAAACTAGACAACTGGGGAACTCATAGAGAAAACTGGAGTCTGCTCATCTGCTCTGACCGAAAACACCATCTGGGACCATAGCCTGCCCCAGCCCTGGGAGAGTTCCTCTGATGCACTCGTCTCCTAGTCCCTCAGTGTCATCTACCCTTCGCACAAACTCTCATCCCCACACCATTCTTAGATCCTCAATCTGCCTGCCATCATTTGGCATCTGCCTATAATGTGGAGGCCTGGATACCAGATGCCAAGATAGCATTTTTTCATTCACAGTGTGGCAGCTGGTAAGAGAGAATATAGAGATAACTTGTAAAGGGCAAGTGGAATGCTATAGGCAGTGAAGACCAGCACCGAGCTGCTCCTCATGCGCAAATCTCGAGGGTTAGCAAGGTGAAGACTGGGTCCTCCACGCTTCCCTCACCTGGTGCCTCTCTGCCATACCCCTACTTCTGCCCTGACTGAGCTAGCGCACCACCTTCCAGCCATACGGACTTCCAACAACCACTTAGTAAACTGCCTCATGTTGAGTGTTTATACTATATTTTTATTTATGTTTGAATATGTCTTTAGAATAAATTAATAGAAATAACTTTACTAGAGGACTGAGGATATAGCTCATTGATGGAATATTTGCCTCTTCTGTACAAGGCCCTGGGTTCCCTTCTCAGTACAGGGAGGAGAAAAAAAAAAAAAAGAAAAGAAAAAGAAGGAAACGGGCCAAACACTAACCTTTTCTAAGCCTTTTGTTACACATTCTTAAATTGTTTCCCAGTATCAGTTTAAAGCTACAGTCTGACATACTCACTTTTAAATCTCTAGTGCTTATTACTGTGCCTAGAGCATAAAAAGTTAATTAATGCTACATGTTTTCTCTTCAATATCATCTTGATGTCTTCCTTTTGTTTCAGATATCTTCACTGTAAGCTTTTCTTTGTACCCAGTGAGCTGGTATTAGAAATTTACTTCTTTGAATAAAGATATTTTCTGATTAGTCAATCAATAAAGATATATTCATGTAAATATAAATTCTTAGGTATTAATCATGGGGATATTTATCTTGGTATATATTAATATAATAATATATTTTAATCATATAATTGCATATCAATTATATGATTAATTTATTATATTATATATTATATGTTATTGTATTATATATATTATCTAGATTGCCTTTCCTGAGGGAGTGTTTGTTTTTCTGACATCTATTAATAGATATGGATGTAGATATAGATGTAGACATAGATATAGATATCGGTATAAGTATAGGTAGAGGTATAGATATACATATATGTATGTCTAAGTTTTGGTGAATGCAAAAAAAGCAATATATAATGTTAGACTACCTGAAAGTGATCACTGGATGTCTTGGAGTTGTGAGATGGAGATTTCCAGCTGAGATGCTCTAGGAAATATAACTGGATATAAGATAGTGATATACAAATACTACAAATTTATGCAATATGTGCTGCATAAGTCCATTGAACATAAGCCATTCAAGAATAGATGACACTAATCAGCAGTGATTATAGTGGAATAGTGGTTATTGAAGAGTAGAAAGATTGACTTGAGAAGGAGCATGAAAAAATTTCTGAGGCTGATGAAAATGTTCTGTATTTGATCTGAATAGTAGACATGCGCACCCATGCAAATGTAAAGTGTTATTGAGAAATATACCTTAGATTTGTAGATCTCATCAAATAATACATTCAGAGGTATAGGTGTGTTCAGTGCTTTCTCATTAGGGATAAGTCAGAGGAAGATATTCAGTTTTATAGAATGACTAGAAAGATATATGTCTGAGTATAATACAAGGGAAAGAATAGGTAGAATGTCATACTGTTCTATTTATTACAAATCCAATAAACTGACAATGTGATTATGCCTTAGGGAGACATCAGGTTTGGTAGGAACATGTCAAGAATATTTTCATGTTTCCATGGAATGTGATATGTGGATGTACTAGTTCCCAAAATGAATGTAATTACTATGGATCACATATACTAATTTTTAATTTATTAATCTGAAAGTATATATTAATCTATAAATAAACAGATTTTTAAAATAAAATTACTTTCTATGTGCACCAAGTACTGATCTAAGAATTATATGGTTATTTTTTTAAAAGTAAGACTAGGGCAGTGGATGTATCTCAGTGGTAGAGCACACAGTTAGCACACACGACACCTGGGTCCCTTCTCAGCACCAAAAAGGAAAAAAATCAAAGTACATATTTTATATAATAAACAAATAAGATTCCCACATAGCTATGTACATATAAACTAACTAACCGCCAGCATAGTGGTCCTAGAAATATTTAGCCAAATTTATAATTTGATTGTTGATTGACTTGGCCTTTTTATATACATTTAATAAACAAAGAGATTAAGTTCCACACAGATGAGACATTCAAGTATAAAACTGCCCTGTTTTCTTGGGCCATTTTTACTGCTTAAACCGTTTAGAACTTAGGCACTTGCCGTTCATTTCAGTTATAACTGGATCCAGTTCATCAGGAATTTTACTTGTTGACCTTTTAAAGAAGCTTAAATCGGGACAATTCACGAAGATAGGTAGGTCAAAAATAACTGACAAGGCTATTTTTGCCAATCTGACAATTCTTTCTCTTGCATTTCAATAAATACCAACTTTTGTCAACTCTCATATACTTTTCCTTATACATATGAACTTTCACAATAAAAGCATTAGTTTATATTCATTTACCTATTTATTTATTTTTGAGACAGGGTCTCCCTGTGTAGTCCAGGCTGGACTTTAACTCACTATGTAGCCCAGGATGGCCTTGAACTTGAGGTGATCCTCGTGCCTCAGCCTCCTGAGGCTGAGATTACAGATGTGTGCCATCATGCCTGGATGACAGCATTACTTTTTGAAGAAGCTCAAATGAAAAGTTTCCTCTTGACCACTAGTTAGGTTTTCTAACAAGGAATTATTCTAGAAGTATCATCTTTTTGCTTCATATTTTTACATTAAAAAATTGTAATTTAGGGGAAAATAAAGGAAGGGAATGGTATTCAGTAACAAGACATCTCAATTTAAAATGTTCTGAAATTAGAATAATTATGGTAAATCTTTTACAAAGACAGATGGCTGATTTTTCCTCCTTCACAAATTTATTTGTGCTTTCTTAATGAAACAAATGAAACTTAGCAGACATTTCCCCTTTTAAGATTGCAAATGTGAATGTGTAACTCTGTTATCTCCCAGGAAAGGTTGTACGGTGCGGCATGCCTTCCCCTCCATCTTCATGTTGGCTGCAAATCTAAGAATGAGAAGAACCGTCTTTGCATGTGTTTTTATCTTCCTCTGTCTCTTCGGTGGTAAGTCACTGCGAAAGCGTAACTCCAAAGGAAGGATGATTTCTTAAGCAATTGCAGAGTTATTGTGTGACCAGGGAAGGTGGATTTACATAAGGTAACTTGTACAGTACTGCTATTGATGCCAGCTTTTCCCACTTCTTGTTCTGACTCTCTCTTCTGACTCTTAGTTTCTTCCTTGTAAACTCCAGGCACTTATACCAAGACCTGAGCAAGCACTCAAGTAACGATCAATGCTAGGAGCCAGCACTGATTGAGCACTTACTATATTTCAGCCTCTGTTCTAAACATCTCACTTGTATGCATTCACTTATTTAATCCTCATGACAGCCTGGTAAATTAGGCAGGTTTTTTCCCCCTCACTTTATAGAGGAGGAAACTGAGTTGGTAGATAGAGTATTATACATTATTATTCCTAAACTAGAACATACATACCGAACTAGGTTGGAAGAACTTATAATAACTTATAAATAAGGCAAAATGAGTAAATTAAATTGGAACAGACGAGCACAGGTACAGCCCCCTTAGCACTTTTTCCTCTTGTAAGTGCTCTTTTTCCATCAATTTCAGCATTCCTTCATTTATAAAAAGAACCACAAAAGGAGATGACTGAGGGTTTTCAGTTCCTTTAGGGGAACTGAAAGGACATTTAAAATGCCTCAAACTAAGTGCTGCTCATAAGCATGTCTTCAAACAGATGTGTTCAAACACTATCATAGGATGTTTTTCCTCCCTCTTAGTGCAGAGTTGCTTTGTCTGGACCAAAAGTTAACAAAGCTGAATCTAAAGTTAGAGGATTGCAGAAGGAGCAGAGAAGGTGGCTGCAACAGTAGTGTGTCAGGAATTTAACGTACATAGGCATCGCTGGGGGATTTAATGAAAAGGAAGAATCAGACCCAGTAGGTCTCACATGAAGCCTGAGGTTCTGCATTTCCACCTAGCTCCAAGTGTGGACGGTGCTGATGGTGTGGAGACCACAGTTCCGGGGGAGGAATCTACAAGGCATCTTAAGAGAAGAAAAATTCTAAAATTCATACTTGGAGACTGTTGGTTCCAAATACTGATATCAACAACTCGTATACCTAAAATATTTGGCCAGATACCACAAACCGGAGAAACCAGGTAGCTATAACCCAACGGGAAAAGCTTGCCGGCCACAAACATTTGCCGCTATGGAGAAAGCACAGCCTGCCACTGCCAAAGCTCCTGATTCCTCATGGAAAGCTGGGAACATGAATTGTATGAGAACTGCCCCAATTTTAAAATATTGACAACTAATATAATTTTTGAAAACTATGTGCAAGAAAAGTACACCAAGTCCAGCCCACAAACCTACAGTTAAGACCTTTGTTTCCCACACTCCTCTTATTACTAAGTACAGTGCCCAACAGTTGTGATTATTCCTTGTAGAGATGGCAGCAAGACTCAAACTGCGTAGCTTGGGTCTCTGCTGCATTTTGATACCTTACCCTTCTCCCCCACAAAAGACACGAGCTAATGAATAGGCAAAAACCCAAAGAAAACATTTTCAGTGCTTTGGATAGCACGAAAAATGATTCAAGGGATCGCAGTAATTTTGCTGAACACAAAGGAAAATGTGAAGGAAAAAAAAATCAGCATAAAGGGACATTTTGTTGTTGAGACTTCTCAGGACTGTCCATAAAGTAGAGGATACTTATTTTAAAAGATTACCATCATCCTGATTTATAATATGTGTTTAAATATCTCTAAGCTGGGCATGGTGGCACACGCCTGTAGCACTCAGGAGGTTGAGGCAGGAGGACTGTTGTGAGCTCAAGGCCAGCCTGGGCTACAAAGTGAGCTCAAGTCCAGCCTGAACTACACAGCGAGACCCTGTCTCAAAAAGACAAATATGTATATATATATATATATATATATATATATATATATACACATGACTGTATATGGCATAGATAAATAAATGTGTACAAGATGTTCTTCCACTAATAGTCATACATAGAATAACACACTTCAGAATTAGTCGTATAAGAAAAGTATTCATTTTACATCTACCTTAAACATTATATTCTTAGTTGTTGAATTGGAATATATCACATAGTAGATATGTTAATAAAATCAGTAAATTTTTAGATAAAAACAGACTGGGAAATGGAAATGGGATTTGAGAGCATAACTGCAGGTGTTCTGGCAACTGAAGAAGTAGTCACCTAAAATATTTGCAAGTTAAGGTAGCATCTTCAGCTGTAGCAAAAGAGGTCAGGACAGAGCTGTTAGAAGCAAAAAGGCTGTGAGTGCTGAGAGTGGAACCAGGAGGTGGGACACCTGAGAGCGAGAGCAAAGCTGGGACGGGTCTTGCCCAGAAGCAGTGCAAGACCCACAGGCAGGTACAGGGTGACCTGGCCCCACGTGCGCTCTCCACCTTTGGGCCCCTGAGCACAGATCTGAGTACTGGCTGGGTCTCCAAGGGCAAGTGGTGCAATGGCGGGATCGTAAATGTAGATGCAAAACTTCCTCGGGCCTGTCCTGCGGAACAGAAACAGGATTTCATAATCTCATAGGCAGCTGACCCACTCTAGGAAAAACCAAAGCCTCCAGCAGGAAGAGGTGACAGAAGGCCTGGAATACACAAAAGCAGCTGGGAACATAGTGTGCTTGCCAAGAACAAGGACAAGGACTTCAACAGAATTTTTTTTTGTCTCTGCCATTCATGCAAGTTTAATTACTAAGACCGCAGCTTTACTTAATTGAAACGTGGGCAAATATAACAACCGGCTGGAAGGTATATTTTGGGAAACATTGACATGTTAATTGCCTAGTGCAAGCTCCTTTCCTAAAAACATTTCTGTTGACTGAACATTGGTTAGGGATTGAAAATCTGTTACACTCAGTGGGAAAACAAACATGAATGCTCCTCAGTGGCTTTAGATGGGGTTGAATCTAAGAACAGTCAACAGATTAATAAGACTCATCAGCCCAACTGCTTTCTAGTAAGTTACCTCTTCTAAAAAACAAGTTACCTCTTCTAACCCCTAATTTAGCAGAGGGGGATATAAAATATACAAAATGTCTACTCATCTCTTCTTTCAGATTATCAATTATTAACATTATTAAATTACAAATTATTAACATGTTGGTAATCACTATATATTGAAAGGTGGGAACAGTGAACAGTAGGTTACATTTTTTTCCTCAATTATAGAAGAGTCTTCTCACAAACTGAGCTATTTTTTATGGTGATGAGCTCCTCATCACTGGCTAGGGCTCCCTGTAGGAATTTTTATAAAGCAGAGTTCCCCAACCTCTGGGCCACAGAATAATGGTCTGTGCAGCAGGAGGTGAGTGTTGGGCGAGTGAGCAAAGCTTTATCTGTAGCTGCATGCTCTCCCCCATTGTTCATATTATCACCTGAGCTCTGCCTCCCATCAGACAAGCTGTGGCATTAGATTTCTATAGGAGTGTAAACCCTATCAAGAATTTTGCATTTGAGGAACCTAGGTTGTGTGCTCCTCATGAGACTTTAAAGCCTGATATTCTGAGGTGGAGCTGAGGAGGTGATGCTAGCTCTGGGAAGCAGCTACAAATAAAGATTAACTTTAGCAGAGAGGTTTGACTACACAAGGACCATAATAAATCAATAGATTTCAGACTCCTATCAAAACCCTATCAGCGAGTGGCAAGTGATAATTAAGCTGCATTTGGTGGCAGGTTTTGTAGTGGTAGGTGAGTCAATGTACAACTGCACCTGGTGGAGGCTTTAGTCAGAATCTGATACTTATTTAAGCCACATGTGTAGCCTGCTCATTATTTTATTTGCCGCTTCTGTGTCTTTTTCCTCCACATTGTACTCTTGTCTCAATCACAGTTTTGGTAACTCCACAAGCAAACCTTAGCCAAAATGAATACAAAAATAAACATCACTGGAGACTTTCTTTGAAGAGGGTAATGAGCCAATAATGAGATTAACAGAAGACTCTAAGACTGTTAGAAAAAGAAGAAAGCTGCAGTAAAGAAAATATCAAGAATTCTACTTAAATTATGGCTTTACTGTAACAAGCCCACTTTATGTAATATGTGGTAACCAACTACCCAACGAAGTCGTGAAACCTTCAAAACTACTTTGCCACATGGAGACCAAGCACTGTACATTAAAAGACAAGCCTTTGGAGTTTGTCTTTTTTTTTTTTTTAAGAAAAAAAAGTGAACATAAAGAACAAGAGCAATTGCTGAAGGACACCACTTCATTAAATGTGTCTGCAATGGAAGCATCATTCTCAATGGCTAATCATATCGCTAAAGCTAAGAAGCCCTATACTACAGGTGAAGAGTTGATCTTCATTTGTCATGAACTTTTAGGAGAGGTTATGGTTTAAAAAGATGTGCTCCTCTTTTGGTTAACATCATAAGAAACAAACTGATGGAACAGCAGATGATACTGAGACATGATGGTCAGAGAGAATTAATGAGTCACTGTGGCATGCAAGCCAGGTTGACAGGTCTACTGATGCTGACAATAAGAAAACATTGCTTCTTTTGTGTGATTTTTAGGAGGATGTACATGAATATACATCACATGCACTGCTGTTGCAGACCAACACTTTAGCTACAGAACTACTCAAGTCTTTGCATGATTATACATCAGGAAAACTGAACTGGTCATTTTGTGCTGTATGTGCATACAGTGGTTGTCATGTCTGGATGGCTTTCTGGTTTCACTACTCAGGTCAAAGAGGTCACTTCTGAATATGAATCTACACATTGTGTCATTCACAAAGAAATTCTGGCTAGCCAAAAAATGTCACTCGAACTTGATAATGTTTTGCAGGATGTGATTAAACACAGCTAAACTAGATAAAGTACATACCTTTAACTCATGTCTGTTCATGCAGCTTTGTAAGGAAATGGATATAGAGCATACATCTCCTATACACAGAAGTGAGGTAGCGTTCTAAAAGTAGATCACTGCCCAGTTTTGGAATTACAGTGACACAGAATGGGTCACAAGATACACTTGTGTGACATATTCAACCTGCTCAACAAAATCATTCTCTCTTCAGAAGAGACAGACAACTGCATTCAAGTTGGCAGATAAAATGGCTACACTCAAAGTTAAACTGGAATTACGAGGGTGATGAGTGAACATTGGGATATTTTGTATGTTTCAAACATTAGATGAGATTTTGAAAAAGAATGAGCCAGGGTCTCCTTCCTCCCAGCTGGTACATGGTCAGCTATCTCTGCTTTCTAAAGAGTTTGAGCATTACTTCCCAACCACAGAAGACCACCAAACTGGGAAGGAATGGATCTGTGATCTATTTGTGAATAAGCCAGGCAAGCAAACTTTGTCCATGCCAGAAGAGGATCAACTGCATCAAAATAGTTTGTTTGAGACAACTTCAAATCCCCGTATGCTCTAGGTTAAAGTCAAGGCAGAATATCACGAGATTGCTGCAAACAACAGTGAAAAGCCTGCTTCCATTTCCAACATTCTACCTTTGTGAAGCAGTTTTCTGCAGTGACAGCAACCAAAATTAGATTATAGAGTAGACTGGACAAGAGCCACACACTTCGGGTGTCACTGTTTCCCATCACCACTAGATGGGACTGTCTAGTTATAGGGAACGATTGCAGGGCTTCCACTGACTTAGTATTGCAGTGAGGGGTATAAATATTTTATTATACATTGTAGTGTAGTAATAATAGAAATAAAATGCACAGTAAGTGCTATAATGCTCTTAACATCACAAAACCACCCCTCCCCACCACCACATCCATGGAAAAGTTGTCTTCTACAAAACTAGTCCTTGCTGCTGATGGACTGGTAACTGCTGCTATAAAGAACTCCTGGACTGGTAGACCCAATGGCTATTCAACACTGGTTCAAGTATCCATAGCCAAGTCACATTCCCTCAGCTATGTCTACCTAACTACAGTACAAATTCCCAGGCCTCACCTTCTACAGACTAACACAGGTCCATGGTGGCTCTAGGAATCCATGGATTTTATTTTAACCACTCAAGTCAGATATACATGGAAATTTGGAAACCAATCTTCTAGATAAAGTCTTTCCAACATTACTTATACTGGCTGAGTCCAAGAATTTATGGTCTAAATCTATTTGACCAATATTATTTTTGAGCCACTAAATTTACATATTAAAGATAACAAATATGTATTATTAATCAAGTAATAAATATTCATGAAAAACTGTTATGGATAATATGCTACCTTAGACACTGAAGTCCTAACAATGGACATATGGCTGAAATTAAATGTTATGGTAAAATACTGGTTTGATTTAATTAGGCACCAAAAAATTAAATAAATCTTAATCAACTAAGTTGGTTAGACCACCTGTCCTCATTTCTGACTACTGTCAGGTCCAATTCATTAATCTAGCATATGCCTTGAAATTTTCCTCACTAAATTCTCAAAAAAAATTTAAATTTTGTGAATTTTTGTAATTGTTTAAATGTTGCTTACTTTTTTAAAGCTGAAAATCACTGCTTTAATTTTGGATCTCTCTCTTCCTCATTTTTTTTTTTTCTGGTCTTCATCAATATTTTCACCTTATTTTTTCATCCCTGTACTTGGAGATGTTGGAAGTGTGATTTGTAGGTCATGTAATCTCTCAATCCCCTTCCATGGATGCCTTCTAGACTTCGGAACCTGCAGAACAAAGTATGGTCAGTACTGCATAAAAGAGACTCACATAAAAGGTAAGTCTCTATAATAAAAAGCATATATAATTACAGTTACGTGCTGGGAAGATCCTTATAACAGCAAATATTCATTGAGCATTCCAGACTGTCTTAGTTCTCTTTCATTGCTGAGACAAAATACCCAACGCCCAAAATGAAGGAAGGAAAGGTTTATTTAGCTTACAGTTTGTGGAGGTTTCAGTCCATACTTGGCTGGCTCTGAGGCAGAAGGTAGCAAAGCAACAAGAGCAAAGGGGGGAATGGCAGCCGAACAGCAAAGCAGCCAGAGTAAAAGGGAGGAATCGTGGCAAGCAGCCTCTTTCCCTCCCTTACATTGTAAACAGGCTACCCCCACCTAAGGGGCGTGTAGCTCTCACATAATCTCCATGCCCTCCTCTTCCACAGGCTCAGGATGTATACAAAGTAAGCACCCTGGCTTCCTGCTGAGTCACTTAGCCAAAACTCTAGACTCCCCAAGTTGACACAATGTATCAACCATAACACAGATGTTATAACATATACCTTATGTTATAAGGGTTTTGTTGGGATAACATTACACCAACCATGCAACGATTTGAGCTGGATGAATCCTGTTACTATCACCAGCTTAAAGCTGAAAAATCTAAGGCTCAGAAAAAATAAGTTATTTGTACAAAGTTACACAGCTAATGACTGTTGTAGCCAACATTCAAATATAAGTAATTTGACCCTGGAACACTAATAAGCCTACAAACTGCCGCATTTAAACCACTCACATCTTCACATTTTTTATGCGTGTATGTGATACTGGGGTGTGTGTGTGTGCGTGTATGCATGAGTGCATGTGTGTGTGAGATGGTATCTTGCTAAACTGTTAAACTACCCAGACTAGGTTAAAACTTACCCGTAATTCCTGCCTCAGCCTCTCAGACTGTTGGGAATGTACACCACCAAACCAAGCTCTTACAGAAAGTAATACATAATTTGGGGAGCCCTTCTAAGGGTGGTCCTATGCAATAGGACAGATCACATCCACATGAAGCCATTCTGTCTACTGCTTTGACTAAAAATTTAAATATAAAAATCCAAATGATGAAAACAGTAGAACAACTGAAAGATATATTTAAAGTTTCAAACAAAGCCAGGTGTAGAGGCGCATGCCTGTAATCCCAGTGTTCGGGAGGCTGAGGCAGAAGGAGCGTTGCAAGTTTGAGGCCAGCCTGGGCTAGAAAGTGAGTTCAAAACCAGCCTAGTAAGACCCTGTCTCAAAAAGACAAAAAATAAAGTTTCAAACAAAGGAGGCCTCTTTAACATACAAAACCCAAAAATCAGAAAGGAAATGATAAACTTGAATATATAAATATTTTTAAATTTCTAAAATAAATGATAACTCCAAAATATCAAAGATAAGCAATAAGCTGTGTGGAAATAGTTAGAACATGGATAACAGAAATGAATGTATTAATATCTAGCCAGAGTAAATAATTTCTAAAAATCAGTTTTGTAAAGGATTAACCACCAAAAAAGAAAAAAATCAAGGAAATAGGAAGGCAATTCTAAGGCTGCTTAGCCTTGTTATCAGAAAAAAAAACCAAGGAAGTATAAATTACAGAAATAACATAAGCCTTTAACCCCTCATATTGGTAAAACATATAAACTTTTAACCAGGTATGGCAGCACATGCTTGGAATTCTGGGTAGTTGGGAGGCTAGGGTAGGAGGACTGTTGGTTTGAGGCCAACCTGGGCCACTTAGTGAGGCACTGTCTCAAGATGAAATAATGAGGGTAGAGATGCAGCTCAGTGATAACAGTGCCCCTGGGTTCAATACCCAGTAACACAATTTCATTTTTAGCAATGGTTGCTGACAGTGTGGGGAAATGGTAACTCACATACCTTTCTGATGACAGTTTAGATTCAATATATTTTAGACAGTTTGCATATTTTTCTTAAAATTCAAATGAGCACAGGCCTCTACAAAGGAGTTCTTTTCCTTGGTATCTACCACAGAGAAGTATTTATATGTAAAGGTATATATCAAAGTTATCATTGCAGCACTATATTTAATAGTGAATCAATGAAAATGGCTTAAATACCTACAGGGGACTATTAAATTATATGATATTCAGGCCATAGAATGCTATGGTGCAATACTTGGGATGAATTAGATCCATTTAACATGGAAAAAATCCTTTAAATGTTGCTCTGTTTGCTAGTCAGCTTTCTTAATGCTAGCACACAATATCCAACACTCCCACTGTGAAAAGAGAGGAGTTTAATTCAGCTCACAATTTCAGGGGATTCAGTGCATAGCATGCTCTAAGGCAGGAACATCAAGATGGAAGGGTGTGGTGGAAAATAGCTGCTTAGTTCATGGCAGTAGGGAAGTGGAGCCAGGGAGCAGCACCAGTTCAAGGTCGAAAGCCTGGAGGCCCACTGGAGAGTTGTTGGTATGATTCCACACTGGAAGACTGAGGAAACCAATGTCTAAAGGCAGCAGCAATAAAAGACACACCTGGTCAAGCAGTCTGGAGCTCTTCCAAAAGGAACCAATTTTCCTTCTTTCCCTTTTATTGTTCCATCCAGGCTACAAGCATATTATTTGGTGCTGTCCACAGCCAGGATGGATCACCTTCCTTCAGTTTACTGGCCTGTATGACGGTCGTCTTTGGAAACTTGCCACAGACACATCCAGAACTATGCTTTATTGATCTCTAAGCATTTATTAATTCAGTCAAGGTGACATAATTAACATTCACATTGAGAAAAAAGACAATTGCAAAATTGTACAGTTTATCACATATGAATACACTTGGCCAAAAGGCCAAGAAGCAATATCACATATGCATAGAAATCAACAAAGCAGAACTCTAAATTTCTCCATGGAATTAGAAGTAGAGAACAAAATTGAAAGGGAATTAAAGTTAGTTGGGGAAAGGAAGGAGAATCTGGGGTCACTTCAAAGGCTTTGTTATTAAGAAGATTCCTGAGCTCTGTTTAACAACCTCCCTTCTCTGAGCTCTATGTCCCTTCTTTATTGAGTCCAAGGCCCCTTGTAGCTCTATATCATTGGCTCTCAGATGTTGCCTCCTATTCCTGAATGAGCACAGAAAGACATCTAATCAGACGGACATCACAATAATCAAAGGGTTCTACGGCTAGAAAAAAGCCTAGAAGCTTACACAGCAAAATATTAACAATACTTCCTGATGATCAATGACCTGGAATGAATGACTACAGTATTATAGGAAGAAGAGTTTCCTAACTTGGAAATTTTGCCATTTCACAATGAAAAAGTGAAATTTATATTTTAAATGGTTTTTTCAATAGACTTTCTCAACTTGGGCATTATTGACACTTGGGGCATTACACTAATTCTTTATTATGGAGAGCAGTTGCTATTATTTGGACCTTGAATGTCTGAAATGTCCAGGCGTGTCGAAGGCTTGGTTCCCACACACTGCTGGGAGGCAGTGGAACCTTCAGGAGGTGGGCCCGGTGGGGGAAGTTAGGTCGCTGGCTGCATGCCCTAGGCTGCACCCCACCGCCACTCCTCTCGTTTCCTGGCTACTATGAAGCAAGTGGCTTCCTTTGCTGTGTTCTCTCACCACAGGCCTAAATGCAATGAGCCAATGGACCATGGACTGAAGCTTCTGCAACTATCAGCCAAAATATACTTTTTATCTTTTTAAATCAGTTATCTTAGGTATTCTGTCTTCGTGAAGGAAAGCTAACACAAGAGTCTCTTGTATTGTAAGATGTATCAACCTACAGTATACCTACTTCTGGGGTGCTCAGAGCACCTCTTGTACCTATTTTACTGCCCCATCCAGTTGTGCTAATAAAAATGTTTCTGGGCCTATCTAATGTCCTGGAGTTGGGGGAGCAAAAGCATCTCCATTTGAAAAACCATTGTTTCTCATTTGCAGCTATAGGGGAACTGCTCCTTTTGTCCTCCATTTACCTGAAGCTCGGGGTGGCAGAATTCGGGGAAGGCATGTCATTTACTTTGTTTGCTTACACTTTTATGCATGTTTATTTATATTTTCTACAGTGAAGATACTTCTTAAACCAAGGAAAAAATAAATGGGATCATGGATAAGCCCCCATTTCTGAGAAGCACTTACTTATCCCCCTGATTCTTCTATGGCTTTGGCCCACAGAATAACTTCTGACCTGAGTGAAGTTAACAAACGATACTCAGGGAGCTTCCAAAAAGCTACGAACACTACAGAAATTTCTACATAGTCAATGGCAATCACATGGCATTCCTTAATCTAAAATGGAAAGCTATTTTGTTTTATAATTTCAAAACCTGTGTATTTCAACTAAAGTGGTAGTTCTTAGAGGCAAAATGATGAAATGAGCCACTCTTAGAGGTAGAAACTCTAGATTTGATAAGCCTAGAGGTTTTGATATGTTTTTTCTTTGTCTTAAGAAAAAACAGTTCAGTGAAGCATCTGAGGCCGGATAGGTTGTACCTCCCAAGACTTTACCCTATCTCTGAGTTTTTTTTCTTGCAGGTGGCATTCGATGGTATACAATTAAAGGCTGCACAGAGGATGTATCAGAGTGTTTCAAGCATAAATATATAAGCATTTATGAATCTCACTCTACCATCTGCTGCCGTCAACCTCTGTGTAATTTCTGAAGAAGTGGCCCATATTCACGCTGGTCAGTCTCAAAGCTTGACCCGTTTCTCACAAGATGACAGCTACTGCCAGTCAGTCCTCTTCAAAAACCTCAACCTTTTCCAAGTCATGGAGCTGCTATCTGAAAGTGACTTTGGCATTCAAAGCACCCGACTCCAACTCAGAGTCAACTCTTTCAACACTGTCTCTCTCCTCTCTTCCTTCTACTTAATTCCATTTCCTGCCACAGGCAAATTAAAGGCTACAGACAAGTGAAAATGAGTTTCCAAGGCAAACTAAGCCCACTGTTTCTAATTAGTTTATTTCTCTAAATATTCTCATCCTGCAAAATACATTTATAAATGAATTCGATC